TTTAATGTATGTACCAAATTTGAACAAAATCCGTCCATGCATAACTGAGATCCGGGTCCGGAATGGTGAAAATGTGCGATTTTGATGCATTTTCGGCCTTAAAATGGCCGCTATTCGGCTATCGTTAATCGGATCATGAAAAAAATGCATGTGCATATGTCCCATATAATGTGTGATGTATGAGTGAAGTTTGAACTTAATCGGTCCATGCATGTTCGAGATACAGGTGATCACGGACGGACGGACGGACGGACGGACGGACGGACGCACACAGGGCAAAACATAAGTCCCCGTTTTCGGACTGCGTCCGAACGGGGACTAAAAAAGTCACTCTTGTTTGTACATTGCATCATGGAATGGGATAACGAAGGCAACATCGAAATAACTTGAAAATATAATATATACTTACTTCATTTAATATACTTTAGAATACTTTATTTTTGCTGAAGGGATGATGTTGTGAAAATAAAATCCAGCAAATATACTTTTTTTTCTATATTTCACAATAAACTCATCAAAAATCAGTGAAAATAAATTCCATACAAAATGCCCAAAAAGCATTTTCAGCGAAAATGAATTCCAGCGAAAATAAAGTATTCCACAGTAATACAATACAAAGCATGACAGATATATATATTTAAATAACATCAAATGCATTTTTGTTGAATTTCATCTTCCATGCATTGCAAAACAAGGTGTACATCCTATTGTATGTATGTTTCATGCTGCAGGATCATTTGTATAAACTTACTATGCTACTATTGGTAGCACATGTGCTAATGCATATATCAGAGTTTTGTCTAATCACATTTTTACATTGCAGTACACAATGAATACAATTTAGGTTTGTTTTTACTGGAGATGTGCTTCTAATAGAGCAAATACCAAAATTTTTGTTGGAAAAAAAAATATCAAAATATCAAACTTATTTTTGCTTTATTCTTTTTTACCACCACAGTAAATGAGTACAAATAATCACATTGATAAGTGTTCTCTGATATAGACTGGAATAATCTTATTTTATTATTAATGATACAAATCACAATTCATACAAGTCATTGAATATGACACAGTCCCCGTTAAATTTTTGAAAGTTCTCTTTGTGCTCGTCGTATTAAAGCGGAGGGGTTGTCGCGAGCGTGTCCTTGAAACTTGAGTTCGAAGTGGCGTATACAACAGATTGTTTATTTACATCAAAACACGTGTTCCGTGTAGCAGTAATATGGCCAAAAATAAAAACAGCCGTTATTCAGCCATCTTTGATCTGAATATGAAACACACTGACATGTATGATGTATGTGCCAAATACGGATGAAAATGGTACATAAATTGTGGAAATATAGTACTAAGGCCAAAAAGTCAGATGGCTGTCAATCGGCCATCCTTGACCAGATTTTGA